GGGTCTGTTCAACTTGATCCAGGTGCTTCTTTATATAACCGTGTCTAACTCAACCGGCTGTTCTTTCTTTGTGCCAGCGCAGTCTTTTATTTATTTATTTTACTTAATGACATTCTTATTAGCTTCTTAGTAAAGTTATATCCCTGCCATTTTAAAGTTCTGTGCAAAGGTATATAAACATCTTACCTGTTGTAGATAGCTCTTTGCATGAAATAAAGCTAAGTTCAGTTTTGTAGTGCCTCTTAAGATTAAAGCGACCATCTTAACACAAATGTCTTAAAATGTAATAAAGGTTATTGTGAACACTATTTAATAAACCTGTTACACATTACTGTCAATGTCCACAATTAAAATGCTGTGAGTGCAAACGTTCACCACAGTGGTATCTAGCTGTAGCACTTCCAGTCCAGCTTGGGGTTAAATTCATCAGGCGCTTTATAATAAATCTGTTGAAATAGTTGTGTAATTAACAAGTGACAGCAATGGAAAGACTTAACTAAGAACTCTAGCATGAACCGCCATGAAATTTACGCCGTTTTAAGTGACACTTGTGTCTTGGCCGGGTTCTGAACTTGTCGATCAGCCACACTTGTAAACTGCATTTTTCTAAACTGAGGTTCTTAACACAGCTATATTCAACAATTAAAGTAATATTTCTTCGTAGCATTTCGACTGAACCCTTTAAAACGGTCAGAATAGGCCTTTTTAAAGTGCTTTGGGTGATTCACAGGTTCTGCTGCTTACAGATAAATCTTTTCTCATCTTGAGCTGGATGTGTTCAGCAGTTTCTGACTCTGTACTTTTCCACTACCAGCTGCTTTTCTTTGGCATGCTGCCTCCTTTTGCTCAGGCTCTCCCTCCCCACTTCTTTTTTTTTTTTGTATGTGTGTATCAAGTAGAATGGTGTGTGTGGGGTGGGGGACCTTCGTCACTCTACCGGCTCTTTCTATTGAAACTTAGCCAAGCAGTTAAGTTGATATGCTTAGAAAGGAGCCTATCAAATTATTGTTTGCGGACTTGCGTAGATGTGTGCGTACAGCATGTACAGCATGTACAGTATGTTATTTATATTTACGAAGCATGACTTCCCTTATTTTTATCCAACGAACTGTACGATCTGCAGTGTTGAGTGTAATCAAAATGTGACACAACCAGGCAGTGTGCAGCCAACTTGTCATGGAATTGCAAACAAATATGTGCAAATCATCCCGGTTGGTGGCGATGGGGAAAGTTTTTTCCCCCCTCTGTTTATGCTCTGTCCCTCTGACGCAGGCACACTGAGGTGTGGCTGTGACGCTCCAAGGGCGCACAGCACGTCTATTGGTGGAGATAAGGTCAATCACCCTGTCCTATGTTTACAGAGTTCCCCACCCATTACAGGAGGGGGTGGAGTGTGTGTTGCACCCTCCCCCGTCTTTATAAAGCAGGAGCTGAAAGTGTAAAGTTACAATTTGGATTTTAACAGCTGATGAGTGCGGACGAGCTGCTCATCATGACGATAAAAACTGAAACAGAGAAGCCCGAGCTGACTTACTCAAAAGCTAAAGGCCTGGTGGAGTTAGTCACTGGTATTGATATATATATATTTTTTTTTAATCTAAAGTTGTTCCATCTCCTTTGCTTGTTTAGTATTTTAATGTTCTTGTCCTCCTGTTTGTGCTTATTTCGCAGCTTTTATGAAACAAAGAAGGATGGGTCTGAACGACTTCATTCAGAGGCTCGCCACAAACTCCTACGCCTGCAAGCAGTGAGTACCGTCTGACTCGTGTCATTGTTCTGCCTCTTCAGGAGGACACAACATTCAGAAACCTGAGCTGGAATGCAAGTCATTTGTCTTCTAGGGACATTGTGTGACTCCCAGATCAGCTGATTCACGTTGCAGAACAACTGAATAGTTTGTGTTGCAATAACGTAACGTTTTTGTTTGTTTGTTTTCCTTGCAGTCCTGAAGTTCAGTCTATTCTGAACCTGACTCCTCCGCAGGATGCTGAGCTAATGAATGCCAACCCTTCTCCTCCTGTACGTATGACTGATTATCCCTCCTTTTCTTTCTGTTTGTACGTCCTCAGTTTTATTAACTTTCCTCTGTTTCATGTTCTCCTCTCAGCCCAGTCCATCCCAGCAGATCAACCTTGGCCCGTCGTCCAATCCCTCAGCCAAACCCAGCGACTTCCACTTCCTCAAAGTGATCGGCAAGGGCAGCTTCGGCAAGGTGCTCCTTGCACGCCATCGCACAGACGACCAGTTTTACGCCGTCAAAGTGTTACAGAAAAAGGCCATTCTCAAGAAAAAGGAGGTACGGAGGACACACCAGCAGCATGTGGAACAGAGCAAACACGCCATGAGTCGTGTTCAACTTCTCTGACCTTTGCTCTTTCTTGTTTCAGGAGAAACACATTATGTCAGAGAGGAATGTGCTCCTAAAGAATGTCAAGCACCCGTTTTTGGTGGGCCTGCACTACTCCTTCCAAACCGCGGACAAACTTTATTTCGTCTTGGACTACATCAACGGAGGAGAGGTGAGTTATTTACTGAACTGATGCCCGAAGAGAAAGCAGATAGAAAAGGATGGATGGTGAGGAGGCCAAGCTCGATAGATAGAAGATAAAGAAGAAACTAAAAAAAAAAAAGATGTAAAAGTTAGAATCAGACACAAAGTTGACACGGGGGAAATCCGCACATGAGAGGCAGAATAGAAGTTGTCGCTTAATTTTTTTCTATCTAAAGGAAACAGCTCAGGAAATCGTAGGGTGGGCTGGGGACAGCAGGAGAAACCTGATGCCAAAATTAGCAGCACCATTGAGACTCTGTGTCTAATCGAGCTCATTTCCTGTGATTGTTGCACGAGCAAAGACAGTGCTGATTAAATATGGACTTCATCAGGAAGCAGGGAACATTTTCTCTTTTTCTTCCATCCTGCTGACTTTTCTCTCTTTCCACTTTTCTGCCCTTTTTTTTTCATCCGTCTCCCTGTGAAGTGTGTAAGCTGTCGCCTTCCTGTCTTTTATATTTCCTCTCATCCTGTTTCCTCTCTAACTCTATTATTATTGTTTTTTTTACATTAGTCTTTCTCTCACTACTGCTTGCTCGAAGCTGTAATTTTGCCGCAGCAGTTATTTCTCAGCACGCGTCAGTAACGGGTTCTCTTGTGTGTTTTTCTGTCTTGCAGTTGTTCTACCACCTGCAAAGGGAACGCTGCTTCCTTGAACCCAGAGCCAGGTTTTACGCTGCGGAAATCGCCAGTTCGCTGGGTTACCTGCACTCCCTCAACATCGTCTACAGAGACTTGAAGCCAGAGAACATCCTGCTGGACTCACAGGGCCACATCATTCTCACAGATTTCGGGCTCTGTAAGGAGAATATCGAACCCAACGGGACCACGTCGACATTCTGCGGTACACCAGAGGTAAGGAGAGGACGTTTAGTTGCTCAGAACTGGCTTTTCTTGCTTCTTTTATTTAGGGTGAAGTAACTTACCTTTTTTTATTTCTTTCCAGTATTTGGCTCCTGAGGTGCTACACAAGCAGCCGTATGACAGGACAGTAGACTGGTGGTGCTTAGGAGCGGTCCTGTACGAGATGCTGTATGGCCTGGTAGGTAAAACGCTGCGTTGAATAAAGCGTGAACATTTTAAAGATGACCCGTGTTTGTCGTCTGTCTAACGTGTTCTCCCGTCCTTCGACAGCCTCCGTTCTACAGCCGTAACACAGCGGAGATGTACGACAACATTCTGAACAAACCTCTGCAGCTCAAACCCAACATTTCCAACGCAGCCAGACACCTGTTGGAGGGACTGCTACAAAAGGACCGAACCAAGAGACTGGGCTGCACAGAGGACTTTGTAAGTGTCCACTTCAACAGTTTGATATTTTGTGTGTTTTTGAATGTTAAAAGACTAAGTTTTATTCATGTGCGCATGTGTGAATTCCCCAGATTGAAATCAAGAACCACATATTCTTCTCTCCAATCAACTGGGACGACCTCAATGCCAAGAAGATAACCCCTCCATTTAACCCTAATGTGGTCAGTTACCCTTTTTAATGCTCTTAGAAATGTTCAAGGCACAGTGCACATGCGCTCGCTCATTTCCATTTATGTAACTCAGATCAAAAGCACAGAACATGTCCAATTATGGTGCTGCAAAGCAGGTCTAATCCCCCCTCGTCTCCCTTCTCTTTTCTTCTTTTTGCAGACGGGACCCAACGACTTGCGGCATTTTGATCCGGAGTTCACGGACGAGCCGGTTCCCAGCTCCATCGGCTGCTCCCCAGACTGCGCACTCGTCACCTCCAGTATCAAAGATGCAGCTGAGGCGTTTGTGGGCTTCTCTTACGCCCCGTCTATGGACTCCTACCTATAGGACCCAAACACAGGCACTCAACATGGACTTTAGTCATTGCTCATTGAATACAGACTCATCGTGCTCGTGGACTGTGCATCTTGACCCCAAAACACATTTCTCATCGGAATGATGGATTTCCCCCCCCCCCCCAAACCAACATGACATCTTCACCTACATGTCTACCTGCCATTTTTCTCTCAGACTCTTGAATGCATTTAATTTATTGCAAAGAGAGAAGGTCGGCTGTAACAATTGACCAGTTGGGGACTGTCACCATCAACAAAAATCTGCTTAGTCGTCTTAGCTTTCCCATTCCTCGCCCGATGGGGAGGTCTTTTTGCACATATGGCTCAGGCAGCTTTAACAGCATCCCTTCATCCTGACATCACAAGCACACATGGAATCTCCCACCTACTGTCTAAAAAGGCTGGAAAAGATCGTCCATGTAGCGAAGCATCTTCCACCCACGTGGACCTACCCGTTGAGTCTGAATGAGTAGCTTGAAGATCACTTTTTGGTGCTTTTTATTTTTTTTTTTAAAGGGAGTTTGGGGGAAGCTGATTGTTACAGAGAGGAGGGTGTATCATTTCTCTCAGAGGTGCCTTTGTTTTATTTATTTCTTTCCATCAGTACTCTCACCATTTGAGTTGTTACCATTAGAGCATTTTTTTTTTCTCTTTGTGTACTGGTAATTATTTTCTTATTGTGAGGATGTAGCACTAAGTTATGAGACGCAGGGACTCAAATGTTTCACTTCTTCATTTGCACATTAAAGCTGATTGAGAGATGGAGAAGATGGCACCACCGCTGGGTGTTACCACCACCCTGTCATGGTTCCGCTTGCCAACTGCGTCCCCCTCGTAGAGTCTTCCGATTTCCTCACACCGATGTAACGGCGGTCCTTTCGTCAAAACTGAACATTCCACTTTAATATTGCTGTAATGCGACTTGACGGTATTTAAGTTTCTTGTACAGTTGGAGTTTTGTGTACTAGTTTAAATGTATATTGAACAAAAGCCTAAAGGTATGCCTAAAATATGTATATGTAACAATTCATGTTTAATGTACTGTAAATTGTAAAATTGTTTATGTGACCATGTTTGGTTTGCAATAAAAGTTTAACTTTATTACACCTTACAGACCGTTTATGAGGGATTTATTTGCACACGGCGGCGCTTCTGTTCTCCGATTTTGCTGATGTGTCAAACACAAGTCATTTCCAAATCGCTCCATTTTGCTTTAAAGTGGGACATTCCACTGGAACTTGCAGAAAATCAACATTGAAAGGTTTAAGTTATTGAGTAAACTAAGAAATCTGAGGAATGTGCATAAACATTGACGACTTTTTATTGAAGAAGCTTGAGCTGCTGATTATATTGTCCCAGATTATGGAAAAGTGGACTTTCTACTCGGTAATACGTCAGCAGCCTCGCACAATGATTGTGTCACCCTGGTGTGAATCTGCGTGGGCCTGAATCAAATCTTTAGCAGCCCAGCAGACAAGAAGGGGTTTAATTATATTGTAAAGATTTGTCTGCACTGTCTTCAGCAATAATTAATATAACTTTATCATGTGCAACATGGTATAAATGAGTTAATGAAATGGAAAGTTTGTATCTGCTGTAACTTTTGGCTATGGGAGGAAGCCAGCGTACCTGATGTAGGCCACACATGCAGAGGAAAACGCATATTTCTCACAAAGACCTGCATAACTGCACAAATGATGCTATTAAAACAGTTTCCAAGCGTGTTTCCATAGAGAGCTTATGAACAATAATATCTTACCTGCTGTAGATGGCTCTTTAGAGAAACAAAGTAGAGAAATATAGTTTTATTCTAATTGGTGAGCTAATGGCTAATTCAAGGTGATTACTGCCTCCTAAAACAATTTGGGAACCTTTCATGCAAACTTTTAAAATATTTATATTGTCAGTTTTGCATTGCATTATTTATATGACCTTTTTACCTTTTTGATGGCTGCAGCATGACAGCTGATGGCAGTTTTAGCTTCTCTCCATTGGCTCCCTGTCAAATTCTGAATTGAATTCAAAATCTTACTTCTAACATACAAAGCTCTCAACAACCTAGCTCCATCTTAAATTACAGATTATTGTTCCATATGTTCCTAACAGAGCACTTTGCTCTCAGACTGCAGGTTTAGTTGTGGTTCCTATAGTTTCCAAAAGCAGAATGGGAGGAAGATCTTTCAGTTATCAGGCTCCTCTCTTGCAAAACCAACTTCCAGTTTCTGTCCGTGAGGCTGACACATTGCTCAGTTTTAAGACTGGGCTTAAGTCTTTCTTTTATGATAATTCCTATAGTTAGAGTTGGCTTGGATTTTCTGAGCTATCCCTTAGTGATGCTGCTATAGGCTTAGACTGCTGGGGGACTTGATCACATTTCATTTCTCTGCTGTTGTCTTCAATTGCCCTACTCTACCTGTTTATATTTGTAATTATTTCTATCTTAACATGTTTTTTTCTCTTTCCTCCAATAGAAAGTACACCTGGACCTGCCATTCTGTGTATGTCCGTTTCTCCTTTCTGTCCTCTCAAACCCCAGCTGGTTGAAGCAGATGGCCACTTGTCCTGAGCCTGGTTCTGCTGGAGATTTCTTCCTGTTAAAATTTCCTTTCCACTGTTGCCTTTGTGCTTGCTCAGGACAGGAGACTATGACAAAGTGAAGATTTAACACAATCTGCTGGCTTCCTTAATTAGATACATTTTACTAATTGGCTTTTTTGTGAATGTTTCTGTTCAGTGCCCTGAGATGACTTCTGTTGTGATTTGGCACTATAGAAATAAACTGACTTGAACTGATATAGCAGCGGCAGCAGGTAGCTGTAGCACTTCCTAAGCTCTCCAGTTGACTTTTAGCAGCAATGCCATAATATTTCCCTGATAAATGATGATAAAGGTTTCAACTTTTGTCTTGGCCTCATATGATTAGCTGTTAACTCTTAAAAGTGAAGCTGTTCAAAGAGCCATGTACCACAGGTAAGATGTTGTTTATAACCTCACTTCAGAACCGCACATTAAAAGATTTTGAAGTAGCTTTAACTGAGCCTCGAGGAACTGCAATTATAAAAAGACTGGAAGTGTACTGGTAGACAAACTGTAAGAAAGTTTTATATGCTTTAATTTTGTCAGTGCATCATGGTTGCTACTAGTTGCATTTCATTCAGGCAGTGATCAGGTAGCTGTTCGACATCTGCTGTGCAGCTGCAGTCATGCACCACCATCTGCTGGTCGAGAAAGTTTTTATTTTTATATATTTATTTTAATGTCCTGCAGGATTCAGAGGACAAAACAGGCCCTTCTGATGAGAAAAGCTTCAGGGTAAGGTTTGTGATGGATTAAAAGCACAAAGGGCTGCACAAATAAAAACATAATGTCCCCCATCGCTGAGGGATTTAGTGAATGTTGTAGTTTTCCAGATGAGTATTTCCAGACCAGAATTGATCAGGGAATGCAAAGAAACCTTTATGTTTTTTAGTGCAAGATGTTCAAGTGGTACTGTGTTTAAAAAGAGAAGTTGCTTCTTTTGTTTTTCTTGCTTGTCTGAGGCATTGCAAAGTGACAGGTCCTGGAGAGTGGAGGGAACGATTTTCATTTCATTTATTTATTTTTTATCTCAAACATTTATATGCACACAAAAAGCAACAATAAAAATGTGCAGGGGCATGATGTAGCAAGTAGCTTAACTAGCCCTGTCCCTCAGCTCTGCATAAATAATCAGATCTTTTTTATAAAATAAGCGTTTTTACAATATCTTATGCCTGCTATTGTGTTGGTTTTATAAAAAGTACCCATCTAATGACAAAAGAATTGTTGTTTTACATAACTTATTTTATAAACACACACACACACATATATATATATATATATATATATATATATATATACCCAAACAGATGGGGCCGAGATGGGGTAGAGGTAGAGCAACCGACTCGGGACCCAAAAGTCCCGGGTTCGTCCCAAATCCCCAGCCATTCCCACATGTCGTGGTGTCTCTGAGCAAGACACCCAATCCCTTATTGCTCCCCAGGTGCTCAGTAGCTGCCCACTGCTCCACCTGAGTGTATCCCTACAGAGAACCAATTTCTCCATTGTATGGGAACATACAATGATGACAACACATAGCACTTGTTACTTGAACAAGATGAAAAGCGAAAACAACTGGACTTCTATTCTGTAGCTGAAGACGTTACGCTTTATCTGAGGAGTTTTTTCGATTCAAAGGAACAAGGAGTGTGGGGTTCAAGTTATAAAGCTGAGGTGTTTTGTAAGCTTGCAGATTGAAGATTGACCTCTCACTCCTCTCAATAGAGGATCGTTAAGGTCTTAGTCTAGGGTTTGCATGACTTCATATTTTTTAAAGTCGACTTCAACAGGATAAAAGTCGAGTCGACGCCAACTAGTCGATGTGACGTCATTGGAACTCAAGATACTATATCAGACATGTTCACAAAAAAATGTAATTCATTGTTTACAAAAAGAAAGAATAACAAAACATCGGGAGTGTATCAGAGTCAGAGTTTCTTTATTGTCGTTCGCATTCGTACCGGTGGAATGAAATTATGTACACAGGGTCCCAGTTACATCCAACAATAAAATTTAAAAGAAAAACAGTCATAAGATCTAAGATATGAACTAAGAAAACATCAACTAAAAATACACTAAGCACTAATAGCATATTAAAACAATAAACAATAAAACAAAACAAACAAACAAAATAAAACAATATGCCAAACAGCAGCACGAACATGAGTGTGTGAGCAGGTGAGCATGCATGAACACAGCAACATGAAATAGATCAGCAGCAACATGAAACAGATCAGCAGCAACATGATGTGATTTTCACAGTGATTATTCTAGTTAGAGATTCATGAGTCTAACAGCCTCAGGGTAGAAGCTGTTCCTCAGTCTAGTGGTTCTACACTTAATACTCCTTAACCTCTTTCCTGAGGGGAGCGGGGCAAAAAGTGTGTGTGCTGGGTGAGTGGGGTCCTTCATGATGCAGGTGGCCCTCTTCCTGCAACTGGAGGTATAAATGTCTGTGATCGTGGAGAGGCTGACTCCAACAGACTTCTGTGCAGCCTTCACCACTCTCTGCATAGCTTTTCAATATTTATGCTCCTACCATTTATCATACTGCAAATAAGTCACAGGAAAAACAAAACTATTATTAAGCTGCAAAAGTGAAAGAAACGTGTGGCACGTTCAAAACAAAACTAAACACCCCATATGGGGTGGGCGGTTGTGGAGTGCACCACCGTGAATTAAATACAATAAAACTAAAAACAGCGGGGCGGGCGGTGGTGGATAGTTGAACCATAAGAGTCATCTTTAGTGAAATACTTCCACACTTTTGATGAATTCCCACCTGTTTGCCAAGACTTGGCCTGCTCCTCGCCTTCCGTCTGCTTGGAAGAATCCATTTTGTAGCCTGATCACGTGACACAATCGCGTGACTGCAACTAGTCGACGTGAATTTTAAAAACACACGAGATGTCCTAGAATCGACTAGTCCACTAGTCCATCCAACCCGTATCTTAGACCACTTTCATGTTTAAAATTCAGGTTAAACTGCTCCTCTGTATCACAGAGTTTAAGATGCTTAGGAAATTATCATCTTGATCAATACTTTGTTGACTGTCAAATATTGATTAAATAATTCTTATAAAGGATATTTAAAATGATTTACTCCTTATTAAAATAATTATATAATCAAACATAATACTATATATTAATTATTTATATGACACTACAATATATAATATATATTGATGCACATATAGGCAGCGAGTCACAGTAATGCATCATTTCTCATTTTCCATACTTCTCTAGTAACGGTCTACTTATGAAAATCTAATTCATCCAGTTGGTCTATGGTCCTGACCCAAAGTCCTCTGGCGTTATCTGACTCATCCTTTGTTTTGATGAGAACCTTACAGATGTTTGTCCATGTAGCCTGAATCTTGCCCTGTTTCTTCAATAGTCAAGCTTTCTTGGCAACATCATCTTATTTTTTGTAAGCTGTTCATTAAGCTAAACATTTGTACTTTTAGATTTCCTCCCTGCTGTAGCAGCCACAGGGGACAATACTGGGTGACCAGTAAGACAATCAGATCCTAG